GTATATTTATGTATCATGATACATGTTCAAGGTAGTGGTGTTCAAAGTTGCTCCAAAGTGTAAAGAACCCAAATGGCCATTAAGAATAAAGTATATTAAGTAAACTACGGTGTGTATATATATTTTTTTTAGACTGGAATGACACTGAAAACAAACTATATCTATATCCGCCTTCATGGATGAATCTACACAGATTCTGAAAAAACAAAAAAAAGTCATTTTATATATATATATACGTGTATATATATATTTATATATACGTATATATGTGTATATATACACACAACAGCAAAAGTGTAGGGAAAAGCAAAGGAAATTACAACTTTAAATCTCGTAATAGGTAGCAGTAGTACTTACTACTGAAGAGGATTCAGCAACATTCTGCCTTTTGTTCAGGTGACAGATACATGGGTGCTCACATTATCATTATTTGACTGTATTTCTAAACGCTTTCAAATATATTTCATAATAGCTGTCAAGTTATTAGAAAATATCTAAAATTCACAAAATGATAGAAATAATGTTCATCTGCATACCACAACAAAATTTAAGAAAAACAACGTAAAAAATACAGTTGATGGCCCATCTCCCCATTGCTCCCCTTTACTATCCTGAATTGGTTCAACTCAAGTTTTCAGATAGCATTCAAGGTTATATTTCACTAATACAGCCTTGCAATGCCAATAAAAGTATCTAAAAAGTGCTGAGTTTATTGATGACACAGTGGCTGTTTTTCTAGTACAGTATGATATATCCTCTTTCAAATATAAGTATTATTAAGTATGTGGGTGGGGGCAGTGGGGCAGGGGCCGGGAGAGAACTGCCAATCATAACTGTAACATAAAACAATGCTTACCTACATGTGTTTGCGCGGCAAAATGTAGTACTATATCTATTTTTTCTGTTTCAAAAAGCAGTTTCACAAAGTGAGAATCACATATGTCACCCTATATGAAAAAGCAAACATGAAAGGGTTAGGTTTCATTGAGCACTCTCATTCATAATCATTTTTACTATAACATCCCCCTACCTCCCACCTCCCTGTTTAATAGAGAATGTTTTGAAAATTCAACTAAGTGCTCAAACAAGTATACCAATGATGTATTTCTCCAGCATCTTAGGATATTAGATATTCAATTCAAATTATTTTTCCAAATAACATTTTAATGAGCACCAACAACTACTAAGTACCATGCTACTGTTGTTCACACCATTTTTGCCAACCCAAGGCCACTATATTAACAGAAAACTTTTTTTAGCATTTTTTAAAAAACCTTTGAGATAACCATTATTAAAATATATCTTAGGCAGGGTGCAGTGGCTCACGCCTGTAATCCCAGCACTTTGGGAAGTTGAGATGGGCGGATCACTTGAGGTCCAGAGTTTGAGACCAGCCTGGCCAACATGGTGAAACTCTGTCTCTACTAAAAATATGAAAATTAGCTAGGCATGGTAGCGGGTGCCTGTAATCCCCGCTAGTAGGGAGGCTGAAGCAAGAGAATTGCTTGAACCCAGGAGGCAGGGGTCGCAGGGAGCCGAGATCATGCCACTGCACTCCAGCCTGGGCAAGAGAGCGAGACTCTGTCTCAAAAAAATATAGTGTAACAACTGGAATCATATTTTGAAAACACATTTTATCACAATTAAGTAAAATTATGGTACTTCTAACGTTTACATGTACATTTAATTCTTCTAAAAATATGTATTCTTGACAATTCGTCAATAGCTGAAGAAAATACTTTCACACAGAATTATGAAATGGTTGTTAGTATATTAAGTTTTGTAGTTAAAAAGAGAGTTTATAGCATAACTTTAAAAAACAATATATCATAAGTTAAATAGTTTCATTTGACAATAACATTTCCCTTTGCAAATTATTGAACTGGTCTTGTGGTTTATACTTTGGATTTGTCTAAAAATGAGACTCCCAGAGTCAATCAACCTTCATAGGGAAAGACTAGGGAGGAACTAAAATACAAACCATGTAAATTCAGTCAGCTACTGATAGATCTGCTAAGGTACCAAAAATCACATGTAGCTTTGTATGTGTTGTCAATCAAAACTAGTATCCTCTAGAGCACATGGTACTTTTGGAAATTAACTATCTGATCTTTTAAAAGGCCTTTAATTAGTGTTCCTTTCAAGCTCATATTACACAGGTTTGTAAAGTACAAAGATACTATAATCCCTGCATGACTAAAGAGTCACAGTACAATTACATGAAAATGTTCATACCTGTATAAATTTGTAGTTCTGTTTGTTAGAAATGGTTTCAAGATTCTTCAAGCTTGCACAGTAATCCAACTTGAAAGAAGAGAGCACAGAAGGGGCAATACAAAAAGTGACATTAGCTTTTCCAATCAAATACCAATTTATTTTAGACTATAGACGTTAATGGTTATAATACAAGAATATGTCCTCTTAAAGTGTGTTTGCTCCCTGGTTTTACACTCTTTTTTTTTTTTTTTTTTTGAGACTGAGTCTCGCTCCGTCGCCCAGGCTGGAGTGCAGTGGTGCAATCTCTGCTCACTGCAAACTCCGCCTTCCGGGTTCACGCCATTCTCCTGCCTCAGCCTCCGGAGTACCTGGGACTACCGGCACCAGCCACCACGGCCCAGCTAATTTTTTGTATTTTGTAGTAAAAGCAGGGTTTCACCGTGCTAGCCAGGATGGTCTCGATCTCCTGACCTCGTGATCCGCCTGCCCCAGCCTCCCAAAGTGCTGGGATTACAGGCGTGAGCCACCGCGCTGGCCTGTTTTTACACATTTTAAGTTTCTGATATCTTAAAAGTAAAAAACAAGTAATTTTGTTACCTTTTCAAAGTACCAAAAAACAAAACAAAAACCTTTTCATAAATCTCTACTTTAAAAAATGTTCCTGGCTGGGGGTGGTGGCTCATGCCTGTAATCCCAGCACTTTGGGAGACTGAGGCAGGCAGATCACAAGGTCAAGAGATCGAGACCATCCTGGCCAACATGGTGAAACCCCATCTCTACTAAAAATACAAAATTTAGCTGGGCTTGGTGGCGTGCCTATAATCCCAGCTACTCAGGAGGCTGAGGCAGGAGAATCGCTTGAACCCGGGAGGTGGAGGTTGCAGTGAGCTGAGATTGCGTCACTACAACCCAGCCTGGTTACAGAGCAAGACTCCATCTCAAACAAACACACAAAAAAATGTTTCTGCCAAAATTTGCCTGTAGCCACTGGTGGCTAGAAAAGTTTACCATTTCTTACAGAAAAGGAATTAGTGATTGAAAATAATTACACCTGTGTTACACATATTAGAATTTATTATACCTATTCCTCAAACTGTTGGTATATTGGTGATATAGAAAAAAATTCCTGTCCATAATAGCAAGTCAGGCAAAGCTTCATAAGAGTTAAGGGTTATTCTTATGATGGATGTCCCAATTACCCTGATGTGATCATTACACATTGTATACATGTATCAAAACATCACCATATGCCCCATAGCAAGTACAGCTAAGATATGTCAATTAAAAAATAGACAAAAAAATCCAATTAAGGCTTATAATCACCAAACTGCCTTACAAATTTTTCTTAGAGTTTTTTTTTTTAATGAAAATCCAAAAAGTCCATTTGCAAGGTAGCAACTGAAAAAACAAAACAAAAACTTTACTTTGTGGACCACCATAAGAAATGCAAGTTTCAAAAACTGACATATAAGATTAAATACAGCATAAGCACATTACAATATAGAGCCTCTAAATTGCTAAAATGACTAAATAAAAAATTAAAATATCAGCATGACAGGATTCTAATACTTTTAAAAAATATAAATTGAAATGTAATTTCAGTGCATGAAGCTCATTTTTATAAAACTCACCTTGTCTAGATTTATGATCATATAGTTTGGATAATCTTCCACTAAAGAGACAATCATATGTGATGCACTATTAAAAAAAAAAAAGTATATCTTGTTAGTGAAAAATTTTAAGTTCCCTAAACTCTTGAATATTTTCCTAAGATGTTGAGTACTAGGAAAATACTCAAAGATAACTTTAACTTTTTTCTAAGATAGCAGAAAACAATATAACTACACTAAATATACACACAAGCAAACTTTTTACCAAACTTCTCAGCAGTATCTATAAACAAAAGTTTTACATTCCATTTAGACTATGTAGAAGAGAGAACGTACTGGTTCTGGGTATAGGGAAAAAAAGTCAGTTTAACCAAATGATGCCATCCATACATGCACAAGTGTGGAGTAAAGTGGAACGATAAATGGGAGCCTGTCAGCACAACTGTACATGCCTATAGCATGCCTTTTCAGGAACTGCAGATATAAGTATGTAAAAATTAAATTACTATGAGCATAGTCAGTTGTCTATATTTAATAGTAACTTCTGCAATTGCTATTTCTTGGTATAAGATTTTGGTAATGTTAAACTAGAATCCTCAGGAGGGTTCTAGACTGAACCCAGGATTCCCAGGCTAGTAACAGCTGAAACCATCCTGAGTTGGATATCCACTGTGGGTCCTGAGCTTCAGAGGACCCTAAAGGGGAATCAGAGGCTTATCTCAGTGAAATGATCTACTAGATTTACCATATATACTTAAAATGTTGGGCTCCCAGGAAAGGGCAGCCCTTGACCAAATTATGAACTTGGAGTTGTAGTTGGCATTCCTTTCACAGCACTTTCTACATCGCCCCCTTCCTGGACCTGCACTCTCACACAAGTATTACCCTTTCATGCCCATAGTCCTCTTTCTCATTAAGTGAAACTTGCCAGCCTGATGCTGTGCCCCAAGTGATTTGTCAGATTAGAAGGGTGATTTAATGTGCAAATGGCCATAAACAGGAATCCTCACATTCCCTTTTCTTCCACTAGACACAGAGTTCCTTGAGGGGAGGATGGGAGAGCTTCCTGTTTATTACTCTTGCATTCATCCATTCCACAATGACTAAAGACTTATATAGAATGGGCCAGGCATTCTTCCAGGTGCTGAGTGAACAGTAGTCTCTGTCCTTACCATGTTTGCATTTTAGAGTGGGGATACAAACAATAAACAAGCAGACACAAATCCGCAATATAATTGCAGGTAGAGGTAAGTGTGCTAGTTGGGAAAGAGGCTATTTTAGATATGGTGGTCAGGTAAGAACTCTCTGAGGAGGTGATATCTGGATAAAAACCGGAATTGAGTGATGCAAACAGCCTAACGAAAGGGGAAGCAAGTGCAAAGCCCTCAAGATAGAAGTGTGTGTCTTGGTGTGTTCCAAGAACTGTAAGAGGGGAAGCATGGCAGGTACAGAAAAGCAGATCACGTTGCAAAAGTAGGGCTTGGGCACTTGAGTTTTCTATATATGGTAGAGTTTGGGCTTTATTCTAAGTGTGGCAGGAACCACTGAAGTAAAATCCTGCTCCTAACATGACCTGATTAAGAAACACTGACTTGTATGTGAGCAACAGGCTTTAAAGGAACATGCGTGGACGCAGTTATGGCCAACCGAGAGGCTACAGCAGCAGTCTAGGCAAAAGATGACGGTAAACATGGGCTAGGGTGGAAAGGGGAAAGTGGTGGGAAGTGGTCGCCGTAAGGATATACTTTGGAAACAGAGAGGGCTTGCTGATCGAATGTGGGTCTGAGGAAGAAAAGGGTGTCAACAGTGGATGTGTAAATGTTTGGATGTCCTATTATAATCCTCAAATCGTTTGTGGGGTGCCTATGTGTACAGGGCCCATCGTGGGGTGGGGGTGCTCTAGGATGGGGGTGGGAAGCAGTCGGTGAGCAACTTAGGGTAACTTGCACGCACTCAAGGACTGACGTGGTGAGCACCTCGGGCCACAGAAGGGCAAGAGTAACACAGGTTTGGAAGAGGCGTTTTAAAGAAGTCACAGTTTCAAAGGAACCACTTCTTTGCACGCCAGGGAGAGAAAAGCTGGTCTAGGTCGTGCATTAGGACCCTCCCATCAGAATAAGGACCCCTCAAAGCTGGACCCAAATTGCCTAGGGCAAGCAGAGCTGCGGGAAAAGGTTGGGGTTTCTGGGGAGCCACTGCTTGGCCATTACCTACATGAAACCAGCACCGCCGGTCACCAGGACCCGCTTCGCAAAGCCGCCGGGAGGACCCCACGGTTCCTCCCAACCCGCTGCCGACATCTCCCAGCTCAGCAATGCCTAGTACCGTAAAGCGTACGGTCTGAAAAGCGCAGGGAAGTTCCGCTGCGACCTTTTGCGACGCGCCTCACTCGCAGGACACGTTAACAGGGCAGCCAGCGGCAGCTTCCGGAGAGTGCTCTGTGGCCAATTTCTCCCCGCCCACTAGCGGGCTGGGCGGGGCCGCGCTCACCACCGCGCAGGCGCTGCTCCTTTCTCCCATTGCCTGGTCAGCCAGGTGCAAATAGGGTCGCCGGTATGGTGAGGATATGGAACTTTTTTCCCGGAAATGCCATCACTATGGATCAGATTTATGAATGAGTACCTCCTTTCATTCTTATACTACAGCCATATCTAGAGGTTACCTATCAGTTGAGCTGAGAACGGGGAGTTGTTGCAGATGGAGATGGGAGGTTGCAATTTCAAAATGATCTTTTTTTTAGCCGGGCGGGGACAGGGTCTCCCTATGTTACCCAAGCTGGAGTGCAGTGGCGCGATCACGGCTCATTGCAGCGTCGACCAATGGGGCTCAAGCAATCCTCCCACTTCAGCCTCCTGAGTAGCTAGGAATACAGTCGTGCGCCACCACGCCCGCCTAATTTTTGGTAGAGATGGGTTTCGCCCAGTTGCCCAGGCTGGTCTCGAGCTCCTGGGATCCAGCCAATCTCCCTCCTCAGCCTCCCAAGGTCCTGGGATTACAGGTGTGAGCCACCGTGCCTGGCCTGCAAAATGATCTTTTGCTGTTAATATTATTACAGGCCGGGCGCGGTGGCTTACTCCTGTAATCCCAGCACTTTGGGAGGCCGAGGTGGGCGGATCACCTGAGCTCAGGAGTTCGAGACCAGCTTGGGCAACATGGTGAAACCCTGTCTCTACTGAAAATACAAAAATTAGCCGGGTGTGATGGCGGGCGCCTGTAATCCCAGCTACTCGGGAGGCTGAGGCAGGAGAATCGCTTGAACCTGGAAGGCAGGGGTTGCAGTGAGCCGAGACTTCACCATTACACTCCAGTCTAGGCAACAAGAGCGAAACTCCGTCTCAAAAAATAATAATATTATTACAGACAGTGCAGAAGGCTTGCAATCATGATAACGATATTCCCTAGGTCCTACCCTGATATATTATCCTATTCTCCCCTTTGCTCACTCTGCCCCAGCCTCCCCACCCTCCTTGCTCTTCACTGAATGTGCCAGGCATGCTACTTCCCCGGGACCTGGATGGCCTTTCCCCAGATGTCTGCCCAGTTTTTACCCTTACTTCCGTTTTCAGCTTGAATGGCATCCTATTGACCACCACAATTAAAATAGCGAGCTCTGCCCAAACCTGCCAAATCATCTTACCCTTCTTTATTTTCCTTCCTAGCACTCAACATTTACACTGATGTAACTGCCCTCTGTTTAGTGTTCCATGGGGTCAGGGGGTTTGTTTTGTTTTCTGCTGTAATTGCATGTCCTCAGAGACTTGGTACAAAATAAATGACCATTAAATATTGTCAAATAGATAAATAAATATCTTTTCTTTCCCCAACATAATGTTTGGCAAAGCTGAAAACGAATGGAAACGTCCAGTACAGGTATATATGTGGAAGTATCATATCACAACCTTTTTATAGGGCAAAGTGGTAATATATATGAAAATTTCAAATGTTCATATTCTATGCCCCCCCGAATTCCATGATGTATAATGTAAATAATTGTTCATTGCTGTATTGCTTGCAATAATGAAACACTGCAAGTAATCTAAATGTGTATAATGTCTTCTAACTTTTAAAATGCAGTAGACTGTTTTATAGCCTTTAAAAAGAATGCACCAACATGGAATGAAGACCAAAATATACTGCAGTCGATATGTACAGTTTTTTTCTGACCAGACTCCTCCCCCCACCATCCTTTATGATCTCCCCAAGTTGACCCAGGCAGGCCACAGAATGGAATCTGGCTGACTCTAAGCCAACTGAAGCCTCTTCTTGGGATTTAGAATTCGACTAAGGTGCTAGTATAGTCTGGTTACTCTACTTGACCTCTGAGGTCCTACAAAGCTGCAACTTTTTGGTGGCCATGTTCTTTTAAAGTAACTGAGGAGCCAAAAAGCCTGTCTTCACAGTGAGAAAAACCAAGTTGATTGAGAAGAAAGAAAAGATAGGAGAGGCCTAACAGCATTCAAGGCCTATGTTATGATTTTTCTTCAGGACCAATTTTATTCCTTTCCTTGGTTTACAAATACCACATATTTTTGTGGTATTTGTGACTCACTTGAAAGGATTCACCCTAAACTCTTAAAATAAGTTACCTTTGGGGGTGAGATATGGGCAGGGAAAGGAGGAAATGGGGAGTTTAATTTTTACTTTATATACTTTTGTTTTCTTGAGACAGAGTCTCGCTCTGTTGCCCAGCCTGGAGTGCAGTGCCACAATCTTGGCTTACTGCAACCTCTGCCTCCCAGGTTCAAGCGATTCTCCCATCTCAGCCTCCAAGTAGCTGGGATTACAGGTGCATGCTACCACACCTGGCTAGTTTTTGTATTTTTAGTAGAGATGAGTTTTCACCATGTTAGCCAGGCTGGTCTTGAACTCCTGACCTCAGGTGATCCACCCACCTCACTTCCCAAAGTGTTGGGATTACAGGCGTGAGCCACCGCACCCAGCCCACTTTATATAATTTTGACTGTGAATTTTTTTCTGAGACACATGGATTACTTTTATAACAAAGAACCCTTGCAGTTTTTTTTTAATCCCAAAATATTAATACTTCCAGCATATTCAGCCAGAAATACTGAAAATGCTGGGTATATGGTAGGAGGTGGTCCCTCAATATTTTTTTTTTTTCTAAATGGTGAGGTCTGTTATGAGAACTTGCTTATATGTTATAGAAGCTTGTTGTTAAATGAAAATCATTTATATATATTTATTCATGAGATAATTTTGAGTTCCTACTTTTGTTACCTGTGGAGGGTCTTGACTGCAAGTTGTCCAGGTTCTTGGCATTTTGAACAAAGAATTGGACAAAAGGCACAGCAAAGCAAGGAAAGAATGATGCAACAAAAGAACGAAAGCAGAAATTTATTGAAAATGAAAGTACATGGCCGGGCGCGGTGGCTCACACCTGTAATCCCAGCACTTTGG